ATGGGGAGCGATCGCTGATGGGGAGGGGCTTCTTTTTGGGAGTAATGAAATGTTCTAAAATTAGATAGGGGTGATGGTTACACAATTTTGGGAACATACTAAAAAATCATTGAATTGTACACTTTAAATGGTTGAACTTTATGTTATATGAAGTATATGTCAATAAAGCGGTTTAAAAATGTTGCCTTTTGAAAGCAGAACTAAAACAGTAACAGTGATAGTAGTGAACATTTCTGCTTCATTAGCCAGCTCTATCCGACAGGAGTGGATATTGCAGGTTTTTGGTGAATTGACATTCCTTCCCAGACCTTCAGTTACCCCCTCTCTCCCTCCAGTTTCCCAAATCGATCCTTATTCCTTCAGTCTGATTCTGTCTTGTGTGAGGTTCTTTGTTTCTTCTAATGTAGGAAACCTCTTTACTTCATCTGAGGGGCAAGCAAACCTCTTTTGGCATTTAGAAACAGAAAGTCAGCCGAGGAAGAGTGAGCCAGCTTATGGTATCTGTGGGCCTCACACCCCAGCCCCAACCCCAGCTTTGCAGAGGCTGGAGGGGAGAAAGCCAGGGGTGGGGGCAGCAGCTGCCTGAATTTTTACACAGGGCCTCTCAATTCCCACACCTAAGGGATTCCCTTCCCTCTCCTGTGGGGCCTGAAGTTCCACCATCACGTCTTCTTATGGGTTGATAACATGGTGGCCACTCACTCCTTGGCCTTTAATAAGTTTGTGATATCAGCCTAACTGAAGCAAGGTTTTGAGGGTGCAAGAGTAAAGTAAGGTTTTGGCGAGTTGGGGAGGAAGAATACTTAAGTGGTGGGACGGCCCTGGACATGTGACCATGGGGTGAGATGGGTCCCTAGTGGGTTCTCAGCCAGCTAGGAAAACCCACCAAGTCCCTGGTACCAGACTTGTATGTGCACAAGATTTCCCGAGGTTTTGTTCTGCTTATATCCAACTTAGCGAGTCTCTTCTTAGAAAATCTGGTGGGGTGCCTCCCTCCCCCGCTTGAAGCTCACTTCCTGGCCCAGTAAGAAAGATCAGTGACTAATAAAGCTAGAGGAAAGATGGCAAATACTTTAAGGTTAGAGGTGCTTGAAACATATTTTGGTAGAGTTTGGGGTAGAGGGTTGTCAAGGCCCTCTGGTCCAACAGTGATACCTCTTCAAGTCTTAGGTTTTACCAAAGAGATTATCGCCCCTTGCACCCCACCTCCATCCTTTTCAAAATGAGGAAATGGATCCACACAGAGGAAGTGACTGGCCCCAGGTGGCATGGCCAATGAGTTGTGGAGCCAGAGCTTAGCTCTCTTGCCTATGCGTGCTCCGCTCACGCTCCACGCACCCAGCCTCGCCCAGCCACCAGCCTCTGTGTCTGGATCATCCATTGCAGAGCAGGAGCGCGGATGACAGATGCCAACTGCAGCTCTCCGTCCATCTGTGGACCTCTGTCCGTCTGAGACACACCTGTCTGACTTTGTCCACATGCTGCTCTGGCGGCTTTCTGTGGAGTAGTCCCCTCTCATGGTTTGCATTCTGCCTTCTTTGCAAGGGTGCCCCACCTCGCACACCATCTGGAACTCAGCTGCAGCTCTTGTTCATGTTGCCCACCCCCTCTGCCATGTTCTGCCGCGTGTGGACCCACACCAACGCAGATTTACTAAGTACAGAGAGTTCTCCTTTTATTTATTTCTGATTACTTAGGGAGGAAAAAATGTTGCTTCTCAGACTTCAGAGTGTTAGCTCTTATGTAGTGACAATTTACAAAAAAAAATTATTTGCAAAATCTTCCCCTTGGTATTTACTACAGTCCCTCAGTCGCTCCTCCTCTGCCGACACACAGTTCCCAGCCTGGACTGGTGTCAGGGACAAGGTTAGTGGTTTAGAGGGGTTAGATCCCGAACCATGAGGAGCTCCTCTGTTCCCATGGCCTTGTAGGCTTCCTCTGTCTTGGCCCTGATCTTATTCTCTGAGGTCAGGCGTCCTAGAAAGCTCCAGAGTCTTGGAAAGTCTATACTTACCCCTTGTGCAAACGGCAGATGCTCCCTTCCGTCGTCCTCTCTGCTCCATCTTTCCTCCCTCATCTCGCTCCTTCCCTGCCTCTCCATCTTCTTTCCATCTCCAGATTTTCTCACCCTTGTGAGCAGACATCACCCAATTACTATCCATGTGTAACGCTCTATCAAAGCTGTGGCTATTTTCTGCCCACAGATATGATACTGTGGTTGGCTCAGTCATCATTCGGAATACCAGCCATTCCAGAATGCCTTGGGCCAGAAATCAGCTGGAGAAGTCAGGCTAGTTCCAGGATGGGAATCTCCTTCTCTTTATTTTATTAGTGAAGGTGACAGTGAGGAGGCTTTGTTGCCTCTTGACACATATGTTGGAAGAAATGAACACAGTGATCTGCGTGGGAGCGGCACTAGCAATGGAAGTGAGAGAAATCCCAAGCACAGGTGTCCCTCAGGAGAAACAGGGTCGGAGTTGCCCAGCCCAGTGGTTTTCCCACCTGGATCTTCTCTTTGTGGTATTGAACATAGGTTCAGGTTATGTTTCCACCAGGGAGGGTGTGCCTACAGCCCTCACCCATCTTTGCCATGAACCTTCCTGCAGCCACTGGCCCTTTTATTTGATCAAGAGGGTCCCAGAAAGCAGCTATGAAGCAATTGTCTCCAATTTGTAATCAGGAACCACCTATCTCAGCCTCTGGTCTCTGTTCTGGCCACACCTGATGAGTCAGTGGTTCCCCTATCTCCTCCTGCTGCATTCTGGTAAACGTGGTTCCATCTGCTTGGATCGCTTCCTTGCACCAATTTGCCCAGCTAAGACCTGTTTTGCTGGAACATTCTGTCATCTGGGGAGCTGGATTAGCTGGCTCTCCTCTGTGCTCCTACATTCTCCTCTGCCAATGCATTTATCTCCTTGTGTTTCGATGGCCTATTAACATGTCTGTATCCCCCACTAGATTCTGGGCTCTCTTGGGGCAGGGGTGCTAAAACGAATCATCGTCCTAGCTCCTTTCTTATCACTTGCTGAGTGAATGAATGAATGAAGTAACAGCTAATGCAACCACATTCGCAAACAGGCATATGCATTCCAACCCTTTTTGATGAAATGAAATCTTCAGAGGGAAATATATTTACCTGGGGTGTGGAGAGGGGGATTATATAGAAGTGAAGTGTGAATTGTGTTGCCACTGATTCTGCAGTGTGCTAGTTTCTGATTGCTGCTGTAACAAACTGTACAAATTTAGTGGCTCAAAACAACACACATTTGTTATCTTGCAGTTCCGAAGGTGAGATGTCTGAAATGAGTCTCATGGGGTTAAAATCAAGGTGTCTTCAGGGCTGTTTTCTGGAGGCTTCAGGAGAATCTCCTTGCCTCTCCAGCTTCTAGACTGGCCTGCATGTCTTGGCTTGTGGCCCCTTCCTCATATTGTTCCAGTATGTTGCTGCCCTTGTCGCTTCTAGCACTTACTCTGATCTGCCTCCCTCCTGTAAGGACCCTTGTGATTACATTTGGCTCATCTGAATAACAAAGGATAATCTCTCAAGATCCTTAGTTATATCTACAAAGTCCCTCTGACCATGTCAGGTGACGTTCACAGGTTCTGGGGATCAGGACATGGACATCTTTGGGGAGACCACTGTCCAGCTTAACACATTCAGAAAGCTCCCACCGTGCCTTCTTATCTGTACATGTCTAAGTTCTTCCCATCATTCAAGATCTGTGCTGCCTCCTCCAGGAAGTCTTCCTTGGGTCCCCTTTCCCTCCAGCCAGATGCTCCTCAGTCTTGGTTCCCGCTGCCACTCTCAATCAGGAGCACTTCTCTGGTCAAACCGAGTCCCTCCTTGGTCTCTGCTCATTTCCGCCTCTGCGCCTTTCCTCCAGGAGGCTTCCCCCTCTTTGGAATGCTCCCAGTTTGACCCCAGCCTGTCTTCCCTCTTCCACACAGCTCCCCTCAACCCTCTGCTCTCATGCAGAGGTCTTAGATTGGTGAAACTCAGACATCCCTCCATTTTAATGACGACCACAGTGTATTCCAATTCTCTGCATGTTAGTCTATAGCCTAGACAACGAGTGAGCATCTTGGAGCCATGGAACTGCCTCTGACGAATCATCGCATGCCAAGTGTTGGCACATAGCATGTGTCGATAGAATGGTGTGAAACAGTCTCTGCTATTTTTTTTTTTTTTTTTTTT